TTCACATTTCCTTCACCACATCAAAGATTCTGCTTCTAGATATCTAGGTTGGCATCTATGACTCTCGCAAACCCGCAGCACTTTATTATAGAACCAAAGCCTCTTTTCAAATTTACAATCCCTGACAGCAATGAGTATCCAGCAAGCAAGACAAAAACTAGTTTACTAATTAATCTGTAGTGAAAGTTTCACATGTTTTTCACACAAAGACCAAATATGTGGTGAAACCCATGTGAAATTGTTCCCTAGAGATTAGTAAGTACAAGTAAACCTGGCTTTAAGTGTTGTCGACTCGGTCCGACACACAGCAATCCTGTATAATATTTCTGAGGAGCAGATTGAACCACCAACCTTGTGATTCAAACTGACTTTGCAGTCTAACACATTAAACCAGAGTCACACCAGAACTCCTTTACTTAAGGGTTAGTTCGCCCCTGCCGACAGTATAAATCCCCATGATATTCTTGTTATCAGCCCCAGGAGTATCAGCAGTCCAGCTGTGACGCAGCTGTAATCTTTCAGAAGCAGTTCATTGAGCTTTTCTTCCACAAATATGATGGGTGGGTTGAACATACAACTTTTAGGTTAGCAGTTAATTGTAAACCAATGTATCACATATTGTTGTTAGGTGCCATGGAGTCGGTTCTAAATCATAGCAACCTTACACAATATAATGAAACACTGCCAGATCTTGCATCATCCTCACAATCATTGTTACACTTGAGCCCACTGCTGCTGAAACTGCGCCAATCACGCCTTCCATGTGCGACGAAGCAACTTATAAAACCAACACGTTGTTGTTAAATGCTGTCAAATCAGTTCTAGATCATAGCAACCTATGTAGGGTTTCTGAGGGGGGTTTGAACTACAAATTGTGGTTAGCAATCCAATTCCTATCCTATAGTGCCATACCAGGACTCCATAAACCACCACAGAACTGTTTTTTAAAAAATGTGCCTGTGATACCTGAGATGGAGGCAGAGATGATGATGTGGAGAGATGGAGCAGCTGGGGACTTTACACACAGAGAGGTAGAAGGATTGTGTGTTGACGACAGGGTGGGAGGTAGGTTTGTAGGGTATACCCTTTGGTTGGTTGATGATGTATGAAGGAGATTGTAACCATGGCAATGAAATGATATACAATAGGATGAAGGCAAAACTAATGTTCTCCTATGTAAACTATCACATAATTCACAATAAAACATTAAAAAAAATTGTGCCTGTCTTGAATCTTGAAGTAGAAGGAAGAAAGGAAAATCCCACCTAAAAATCACAAATCACAAACCATCTCTCATGTAATTTTCATTTGGTCTATTATTTTCATTTGCTGCAAAATCCAAATTTACTGTTACAGGAAAAAGAGAAATAATAAAGAAGATAAATGAAAGCAAGTAGCTTGTGAGACACAGGCAGAAAGTAAGTAAAGCATATATGTGCTGGATGTAGTCAAAAAGGAAAGAAAAAGCAAGCAGAAACTAAATATCATATACAAAATATACACGAGTTACACAGACACTCAACCTTCTTAAAGTCTTGAACTATTCACCCATTGTTGACACCCATTCTGGCCCTCTACCCAAGAAACACAAATAAAATTCATAGGTGCTCATCAGTTTAATTGTATGCCTGGGTTTACAAGCACCTGCATTTCTGCCAAGAAAGAAAAATGGAGTTTGCTGGCCCCAGGTTCTTTCCATCCCTCTTAGCCAAACCTCAACTTTGGTCCTAAAAACCACATCATCAGAGTGGGTCATGCAGCATAGGATTAAGAGGTCAGATGAAAAATACATTAATCAGAATTCAGTAGGGTGACACAGTCACCCACCTGCACCTGTCTTATCTCCTTTGCCTTGCATTTTGCTATAAGGTTTTACTTGATTTAATAAACTCTCTGTGATATCAGATAACATCAGTCTTTTTCTCTGTTTATCATGATGTTGCTTGTTGTTCCAATTGTGAGGATTATTGTTATCTAGACTGAGGTCTGTAGACTTTGATCCTCATCAGTAAATGCTTCAAGTTCTCTTCACTTTCAAAGAGCAAGATTTTGTCATCTGCATATCACAGATTGTTAATGCATCTTGCTCCAAT